TGAAGCTGATTTACATTTAGAGCTGCTAATTGCAGACTTTTGAGTCCTATTACTGGAGTTTTGTACCTGTTTAGGTTGCCAGCCTTGAATGTTCTACTAGGATTTGAAATTCATGTCCCGTCTCAGTCGTCAATCATGCTGACAGCTCGAGTGAGAGCTCCAGCTGCTGTGGAGACCAAATGCTTTATATTTATAACTCTGAATTCTGCTTAAATTATAATAAATAGTAAGCTTACCTAGGAACAAATAGAAAAAAAGAAAACAGCTGAACTCTTTATATACATTTTGCTAAGTTTTATTTGCATTGTCACCATAGTCTAGGCTCCCTAGACACATCACACAAAGTCATCAGCCCCCTACTGTTATCCTCCCTGTCTTCTTACTCTTTGGTCCCTTTGATACCACCAGACTCTAAATCTTTACTGATGCTCCGTACATGCTCTGACATGAAATATACAGCATTAAAGCTCATTATAAGCTGTCCTCATGTTTTTCCAGTGCATAAACAGAGCACTTAGATGCTGCGTTGATGCCCTTTTTTCTCAGCAGTAAAGTACACACACAAAAGTTTAAACGAGTAACATTTAACATACGTGTATGAGTCCCAGTTTTCATTTAAAGCAGTTGGTCTGTACTGATAAAGGCAATAATTAACTCTGCGTGGTCTGTAGTAACTTTCAACTAAATTTCCCTGATCAAAGCTTAAACTATACAGCACAAACTCTAGTAACTCAGGGGGGCTACAGATTTGAGAGGGAGAAAATCAGAAAGTGCTGAGTTGGAAAGAAGGAAGGAAGAATGTTATCTTTGTACTCTGCTCCTCATCTTTCCTTGGAACCTGGGGAAATTTGGCTTAAACTAGTAAGACATGCATATGAGATATCAAAGCTGTGAGTCTTATTAGAGCATCCACAAAAATCCAAGAGGGTATTAGTGTTCATAATCATCAGAGAAGTTGTTCAAAAGCAGCTCATTTTGCCATGTGAGGTTTTTTTTTCTTTCCCAGAACTGAGGAGGTGTGACAAATCGTGTTTGATTGACATCTGAATGACTCACCAGGACAACAAAGACGCCTGTGAGAATCAGTGCAGTGCAGTCCTAAACAGAGTGCCTGAGTCATGAGGAAGGAAGTGGAACACCTGTCATTTAAATTTATTCCTGAATGACCATAAATTATGTGTTACAAACAAGTTAGGATGCAGAAATGATGGAATCGATGCAAAATAACCAACAATCTTTGTCACAAAAAACTCCATCGAATTCCCTTATCAGTCTGATTCAGACCTAAGCAAAGCTCCATTTCTGCTGCTACATTAGTTGTCAATGATATTCTTTCCAGTATCGGCAAAAAGAAGCATTGTGCTGCTATTTTTATTGACCTATCAAATGTTTTTATGCTTTTTTATACCACTTCTCATTCAGAATTTCCATAATATTAAGATATAATAAGAGTTAGATGTGATTACCATATCCATCTTTATGCAGATGACTCTGTTCTGTATTGTTCTGCTGGTTCTGTACAGCTTGCTGTTGAAAGTTTATAGTTTTGTTTTAAAACAGAATGCACTTATTAGTCTTGAATTAATACTCGGTGTAAGCAAATCGAGATTTCTGCTTTTCTCCAGAGCCAGACTCACTGAGCATTTTTTGGTCAACGGCTATCATCATTACTTTGGTTAAATACTTGGCAATCAGTTATCCAACTCAAAGTTGCTTTTTGAAATAAATAGTTATTGAATAATGGGTTTAAGTGCAACGTCTAAATTTTGTCTAAAAATATACAGAATCTAGACGGTTTAAATTAGGTCTAAAGAAAAAAAATAGATGTCTAATAGCCATCTATTGCTCAGCGGGGAGGTATTGATTTTAGCTGTCTGTAACTATTCACACTGGATAGTAGTAATATTAAAAGAAACCAAATTTGTTCCACTAACCATCTGATTCCTCAAGTACCCTGTTTCCTCTTCGTCAAATCTTCGTTTGGTCTCTGTGCCCCCTATATGTGAAATTACTATTGAAGAAAGAAACATTTAAATGTGAGTCACCTCTTTGGTATAAAAAGATCCGAAATTCTGAATGGATCTGAAAGAATCATACCCCTGCTAGTGACTCAAGGCTGATGGTACTACTTTTTAAAATCAACTTTCAACCTCATTACGTCAAAATTATCCATACAAAGGAAAAGGTAATAAATAAACCTTGTGGGAAGCCTGTTTATTCAAATTCAAGACAACAAATATAGCAGTGGAGGAGGTATGTCTTTAAAGCAAGTAGGTTGCTTGTCATGAGGCATGCACCGATTCAGCAATCTCATACAGAGGAATAAGAAGGACAAGTAGTTGCTCTTTATGGTGCCATACTTTACAAAACTCACTGCAGTGGAGATAAAATCAGAGGGTCTCATTGGTCAGGCATTCAATCCACAAAGCATAATGGGAGAGAGGGCAAGATGTAGATATAAAAATTGGGAATACTAGTTGCAGTGGTACTTAAGATGCAAAGTTATTTTAAGGGGGAAATGTTTAAACTGTTTCTGTGTAAACACTTCCACGCAACATGAAGTTTCTATGCAGCTGTGATGCACTTTCAGCACCATCTGTTTCCAGCATCCTGCTAGCTAGAACACCGTAGTTGAGCTCAGCCTACAGTTGCAATGACAGTTGTGAGGTACCAACAGCTACATTGCAAACTTTCAATTTGCAGAGACTCATACTCATCCCCCTCATTTGGTTGCTTGTTGCTTTAAATTTAGAGGTCTTTTCAACCAAATCAGCCCTCGACTTAAACTTTCGTAAAGGTACATTGACGAGTTTTTTAATGATAACAAAATTGACAGTGTTTTAGGACTGCAGTTGTTTATTATTTGAAGTTGTTAATGTGCATCATAATTTTTTGGGTTATTATCATTATTTGTGCCCTGTTGTTGAGAGAGATAAGACCCTTATTTTAAGATCAGTCCTCCATTGTCTCAGTAGGATGAAAGTAGTAGTTTACAGCAGCATGTACGGGCATGTACGCAGTGTTTAAATCGAGCTTCTCTTGCTTTCTGGCCTTCAACAAAACAGGAAAGAGATTTTTCCCCGAGTTGAGGTCAAACTCCTGGCTGCTCTTACTACATGACGGATGTTTCTAAAGGCAGGCAGCGAACAGCATGAAGGGCTCGTTGACTTTGGAGGTGGTTGTACACGTTGAATGACACTCAGCAGATGAAGGGAAAATGTGACTGAGCAGCGTTTCCCCCAGGACCTCACATCAAAGCCTCACCAACAGGAAACACTGTTAATCTCCCTCGTCTGCCTTCCCCGGTGGGGTACTCACTGCACAATGAGAAAAAATGGGCCAAGTGCACGAGGCCTATAGAAAGATAAACACACGTGCACGAAAAGAAAAGCCACTGTATGGTTTTTAGTATAAGGATTGTGTTTACAGTGAATACAGCCAGAGACCAAGCTGTACTTATCATTGCCTACTTTTTTTTTTTCTTTTGAAACTTCTTCTTCAAATGCTCGTCTCGACCCTCCGGGATTGTAGATCTCAGACCGACTCTTTTAGAGTGTTTACTGGCACGGTGAGGAAGAAGGAGAATACGTTTCACCTTTCCATATATCAAAGCTCAATCCAGCCATGACAGAGTGCTCCACACTGCACTGAGAGGGGGAAGAATTAAGGACCCAACCCCTCTAAATGGCCTTCCTCCCCTGAAAGGAAGCTATAATTAAAGTTAAGTGAGCAGATGCTGAAAGAAAAGCTTTTTTGTGATAATAAATGTGGTTTTGAATTTAACACCTCCAGGGTAGAGGAACCCTATCTAAATGACCCTAAGGCCCCCTCCTGCCACTTCCACTACAGTATGCCATAATGCTGTAAAGTGTGGTGACAACACCCTCCTCCACTTCCACTCAGACCTCTTCCCCTCCCAGCCCGCCGGCTGAGGTTGAAACCTTCTGTTTCAGAGGAGGATTAGGTTACTGCACTTAAGTGTGGCAACAATGTCCATGAAATTGAGACCAGTAGTGTTTGCATTGTACCTACAAGACAGATAACCCCAACAGGAGAAAAAGGTGTGGGAAGAGAAAAAGAGGAATAAAACAGCACGTTACTCTTCTTAGCTTTATCCAACTTTGTTTTCTGCAGAAAACTCTCTATGTTGCATACTCTCAGAATGCAAATTATTTATCCAAAACACTTCTGAGCAAGGACACATTTGCATTTTAAACATTTTTCACCAAAGATGGTATGTATTCAGAATTTGTGCTTTCAAGTGGAAATAAAAAAAATCTCTATTTGCAGTAAAAATGTGGTCGGGAGATTATTTCAACCCTTTTATTGTCGCTCTGCTTTGGAAACATAAAGGGATTTTGCAATTAAACACATAATATGAAAATACAATGAAACAGGGTTTTTGGAGCTAGAAAAAACATAATTATGTATGTCATTTAATTATATGTTGTTTAATTGCATTTGGCAGACACGACTGTCATAATCTGTTAAAGTCAATAGCATTATGTTAACTAAGACTGTCATGTGGTCGCTCTTAAATCCACTGCAAAAGTTCAATTTCTATATACTCAAGGCAAAATCTAGATTAGAATATAAGAGGGGAATGGCAGGTACAAGGAATATCACAGAGATTCCCACATGACTAGACACCTCCAACGTGTAAGAAAGGCCCAGTGCACATTTACACCCAGCACCGTCTCCTCATATCCTCAAGTCGACTCTTCAGACATGCAGACAGAGACAGTCTAAATCTAATATTTATAGGTGATGTGTACTGAATTTAGGGTACAGTTCATTCCAGGGTGTTCCGATCCCTCCATCGCTTTCCTTCAGGGCTGCCTAATAAGGTGAAGTGTTCAGTCTTTTGATTTCAACCTTCTTTAACCGAGGTTCATCCAGAGGCTGCACAGAACCCTCAGGGACTTAAAGAGGAGGACCCCCCGCTGGAGCCGGTGTAACCCGGAGCAAAAACAGAGCAGGGGTCCTGGGGTATCACCCACCCCCCTGCCAAAAGGGACTCTGTAAGATTCCTCTTCTCCTGCCTCTGAGCCTGATGTACAGTCTGCCTGAGAGCCCCAGACTCTCCCACCACAGCCTGGCTCAGCAGGGGTTCGGTGGGAAGATCTCCGGGCTCCAATCTGGTGCACGAAAAAAGCCTTCTTTTGTTTTCTCATCAACGCCCCCATGTTGTCTGGCTGCTGCTTGGATTGGATCGATAACATGATTATTTTAATTCCACTTGTTTCAAGTTCAAAATACAAAGCAAGAAATGAGGGCGCAATTTGTCCTCAGTGTTTCTTGATATGCTTTTTACCACAGATTGTCTCTTTGTTCCCGAAAACAGGACATAGGGACATTTGCTTTGACTTCTTATTGCTGTTTTCAGATCATTACCCAGTGAGCACGTAAGCAAAGTGTTTACTTATTGCTGTGCATTAAAGCCAAGTACTAAAAAAGATTTCTGCAAATGAACACTGCATCTGCAAGGAAGAAAAATAAATCTCTGCCTAATGTACAAAATTTTTCATTAACAGTTACCTGCTGGAACATAAATGGAGCCGCACAAACAATTTACACGCCAAAGAAAAATGATTAAGTGGGCCTTGTTCCTCTGCTGGTTGCGTATGTTTATTTACAAATTAAAAAACCCTCACCTATCAGGACTGTAAGTGCTTTATGAGCTGAATAATTTAATGCTCTGTGTTTATGTGTGTGTTTAAGTGTCAGTGAGTGTGCGTTTGTGTGTGTGTAGGATCATGGAGTGGGAGGGTGGCGTGGCGGAGGTTGAAAATATTTTGATTTACATTTTTCCTGCTTGGTTTGCATATTGTTCCCCTCCAGCAGCAACCTATTAATGAGACAAGCAGGTCATTCTCAGCAAGGGATGCTTACCATACGACTACACACACATATGCTTTTTGCCCTCTTTTGTGTTACACGCACACATCGACTGTATAAGGACACACGGTTTTAACACACACGCTTATGCAGACTGGAAACTTTCGCTCCATTTTCTCGTAACCCCCAGAGAGTAAATCAGCTGATGTTCGATTGATCTGACCTTGTTCTGACAGTTTGCAGCAGTAAGGGGCAGTAATAGCCTCACTTTATGCAACAAGGATGTAAAACTGAGCTCTCCATGTCCCCCTCCCGCCCTCTCTCTCTGACTTCTTACTCCAGTCTGTACATGATCTCCCCTCCTCCTCCTCTTCCCCTTATTTTCCTCTGCATCTGTGCATATCAGATGGCTGATACATTAATGGGACCTGTGCTGAGTAATGGGGCAGGTTTGGAGTTTGTCACACTGACCCCACCCATCAGGGCCGCTTGCCACCAGGAACCCCACAGGATGCTCTCTGGGAAATGTCTCTACTGCTTATTGGAATTTCTTTGATGAGTCTGCGTTTCGGGTAACAGAGAAACCTGATCCGTTTACTAGCATCTGATTTGTGGTGGATCGGGGACGTTGGCTTTGCCCATACACTATAATGAATATTTTACTGTATGATGCTTGTTTTGGAGGTATTAAGGTTACAAGTTCAGCATTTTTAGAGGCTGACTGGAGTGACAGGCAGACTGTAGCTGTGAGTGAGGAGGCTAAACGCCCGCCTCAACTCCGCCTCTTTGTTTGTTGTTAGGCTGATTGGAAATTTGGTTGATAGTGTCAGCCTCAAACATCACTGAGACTACATCTATATTTAAAGTCCCGCTCTGATTGTTTTTTTTTTAACTACTTAAAAAGTCCTCAGTGGTCTTTAAATTGTGGTTATGAAGTGTTTACCAAAAGTTGCGTTACCTGTGTCATTTTTAAGGGCTTTTCTTCTGCAGAGCTCCAGTAGCCTATTAGCAATTAGCCTCTGAGTTACGGGCGGAGACAGCGCTGCTCCGCACACTAATCTTCATGCTAGCTTGCAGCCTAATGGTCCTTACACACCAGGTGCGAATTATTCGCCTTTATTCGCCTTTTTTTAAAACAGCATAAAGTCAATGCAAGCTTCCACACCAGCGGGGATTTTTCCGCGGGCGAAAAGCCTCTTATTTTTTCGCTCTTGTGTCAAATTTTTCGGAGATTCGCAGGCGAATATCTGGACCTGCTAGACCTCTGGCCAATCAAATGTCATGTTGTTGATGACGTCACAGACCCATGCGGCTGCAGTTCACACGACACACACCACCACTGGCACCAAGAGCAACGATGGAGGAGAGTGTGTAGCACAGAGTGGTCACCCGGTGTGTATAAGCGAAAGCGATTTTTCGGATCGGCGAATATTTCCGCATTTTCGTCTCGATTTTTCGCGTCCCTCGCAAATTCGCTGGTGTGTAAGGACCTTAACTTTGCAGATGTAGTAGAAGTAGCAGGTAACATGTCTTTAGGGACACGATGAAAGCTAATATCATAATTAGCTTTCTTACCAACGTTGCAATTTGCTAACGCACACGCCTGTTACCTGATCGGCCTCCGGGGCAGGAGCTTGGATTTGTTACGTATGAAAACTCCCTGTTTCTGAACCTGCCGTGTGGGTCTGCAAGAGATTCACAGCGATTTGAGTGAAGAAATACTTAGAAAAGCAATTTCGCATTTAGTTTTCTCATGATATGTCCTGTAGCATCAGAAAAATGCCATATGAACATACAAAAAAACAAACAAACAAGAAAAACATGGTTTTATCGGAGTGGGTCTTTAACACACTTTATAGTTTTTAGGCTACCAGTTGAAATTTATGGTGGTCAACAAGACAAACTAATGCAAAAGAGTAAAGCTGCAAATCTAAACATGATGGAGGATGTGCCCCAGGCCTCTCAGGGTGCCCAGTGGAACTTAAGTGTCAGGAATTGTTGTTTTTTTTCTTTCCAGTTAAGCGTTATCTAAAGCCAATCAGATAGCATAATGACAGGGAGTACAATGACTTGCAGCTACCTTGAGTCACACTTGGCCCCAAGCTAAGCTCACCTTAGAGACTTTGAACAATATTTTCGACATGCATTGTGCAAGAGCGCTCAAAGATGTCTAACCTGAAGTTGCTCTGAAATGTACTTATTGTTCTAAATAATCCAGTCGGTTCGTTTCAAATGGGATGCACCTGAGGAATGCTAACCTGAAGTCAAACAGGAGAGCCTGAAAACAAACTCAATTAACATTAACCGTGGACAGGTGAGAAGTGCATCCTGCAGTGTCTGGGAAAACATACTTTTCAGCTGCTTTATTCAGTGCAGCATTAACGTTTCATTCTCTGCCCGTGCTACATTTCTGTGGTATGTTAACATGATATAATAATTGATCAAATTCAGGTTCTCTTCATGCTCTTAAAAATAAGCCAACACTAGCAGCCATAGTACCTCCAGCACTGGTTTCTGTTCAATTTAGGCTGTATTGGCAGCATTTGTGACAGTAGCACAGAAAAAAGTTCAGTTTTCTTTATCATGCAGGTAATTACACTCCTGAATTTTCTCTTACTAGCTGAAGGCAGCTCTCGCTTGTAGTTAGTATTTCTATAAGATGTTAAAACCAAGTATTTATGTCCTTTTGTTGCCCTGGAACGAGACAGCCTCTCATGCAATATCATAAGAATGTGAAGGGGTGTAATGGATTCCTGTGTGAGCCTTCATTAGTTGTGTTTACAGTAGCTTTCTCAGTCCGACTGCATTACCGCGACCTGATGCTGCTCCCCCCTCGAGCGTTCATAAATCATTGTTAACAGACAGACCTGACACTCTGCTCATACATCACCACGCCAGCCCTTTACTCGTCCGTAATTCAAACGCTGGATGTACAAACATCCCTGGCTGTGTCATGTCAGTTCAAAACACAGCTGAAACTCACACCCGAACAAAGAACAACAGGCCGAAGCGTTCAGACGGCCGAGATGAAAGCAGCTTAAAGAAAGTGGAGAGCTCTCATGCCTCGGAACATTATGCTGCCCTTTCTTCTCTCATCCAACAGGAATTTGGATTTGTGCATGATCCTGCCAAAGTGAGAATGCCAAAAGAGAGTGATTCAGACAACTGTGAAACTATTAATTAGATGGCTGTTGAAAAGGAAGGGGAAGGAAATAATTATGATAATAAACAACGTCCAATAACTTCCCTTTGTGGAAACTGTGACAGAGCCTTTGTCTACTTCACGCAGTATTGAATATTCTATATGAACCCTTACTACAAAAGAGAGACGTTTCAGAGTGACCAAAAAACAACCTTTGTTTAAGCTTGTGGATATTTTGAAAGGATTGTGATCAATCTTCTGTCTTATATTGAAAAAAAAAATATTAGTCTACTGCCAAACAATAAAGCCATTCCAATTTGATATATATGCTTTGATTTTTTTTTTTTTTTATCAGAATATTTACTCCAACAGCCTTTTGTTCTTGTACAATCCTTTATCTTTGAGTGCACTTGTTACCCAGAAAACATCAAATCTATTCAAAAAATGTGTGACAGCTTTATTAAGTCTTGAATTATTAAAGGAACTTTAAGAAAGTGGCACTTCTGGCATTCAGAAACAACATAACTCTTTGCTTATCCTGTCCAGTTCGTGCAAATGAAAGTGATTTCACAACAAAATAATCCCCTTCTTCCTTATCATAAATGCCCAGTGTGCAACTTACAATACTTCTGTGACATGTCAAATCTTCAAAAGGCTGTCTCAGTGGGAAGAACATATGAAATAACCAGTCTGCTACTTCATGTATATGCCTTCTTGACCATATAGAGGAATCATGATTAGTTATTTATGTCCATTTTATTATCAGTTCAAAACTTCTCACAGGAGCCTGAAAGACACGAACGTTTCATTTAACTATGAAATCTGCTCTTCCGTTCCTCCTCGCTTACATCCAAACATTGCTTGGCAGCCATCTGGCTGACTGGACGCAGAGTGTTGTGAGAGTGTTGCCAGGACTCCAGTTGTTGCCCAACTGTCACTTCAACCAAAGCAAAGTGCCCTTAATGCTGCTTACTTCCACTGTGATTTTATAGCAAAAATATATTGGTTTGAAATGTTATCTGATGAAATATAATACCGGGTGACAATCTAATTTATCTTCCAAAACACAAGCGAAGTAATTCATCTTGAAATGTATGCAAGAGCACTCACACTGAGGACATTTTGGCGTGTTTCTGTAAGAGTTCCCGTCAGCGTAGTTGAATACTGTCCACTAAACTGCCCTGATGACAAAACAGCCAAAGAGGC